CAAGGAAAGCGAATAGAACCCTTTTATTTTCTAGCTTTCCCGGCTAACATTACCCTCTGTCCAGTTAACACCCGTGATACATACCTGGACAAGACCAAGCATATGAGGGGAAATGAAAACAGACTGTTTATTTCCTTCATAAAACCACACAAAGCAGTTACATCTAGTTCCATCGCAAGATGGCTAAGAACTACTCTTAAAGAGGCAGGAATCGACTCCTCTATATTCGGAGCCCATTCTACTCGTGGGGCGTCAGCCTCAGCTGCAGCCAGAGGTGAAGTTACTCTAGAAGAAATCCTAAAAGCAGCAAATTGGAGCTCAGAGTCAGTCTTCCAAAGGTTTTATCACAAAGAAGTGGATTGAGCGGCCTATGGAATAGCTGTCATTAATGACCAGAATAGCTTGGAAAGCTACAAACAACACAGTTAATATGTGAGACTGAGCCTTCTGAAATATAATTGTCAGAATGGCTAAGGCCACGAAGTGGCTGCAAGCTATTCTAGATGATATGAAGAAGGTGAAGTCGATCATATCAACTATCCACACCCACCCTCTCAATGGAAGATTAGGAGCTAATCAAAGGCCAAGGAAGATGGCTGAAGCAGGGGCTTATATAGTGAGGCAAGTGAGCGGATGGGCGGACCAAAAGTTATTAAAATTAGTTATTTCACTACAAATTAACTGTGAGTTAAGAAAACAGGCCAAACAGTTGATATGATCGACTTCACCTTCTTCATGTAATCTAGAATAGCTTGCAGCCACTTCGTGGCCTTAGCCATTCTGACAATTATAACAGTATTGTCATGCAACCCCACCCTTATTAAAACCAAACCACACCACTGGGTGTGATCTTAAGTAAAATCTACCTGTGCCTGGAACCACTTATGGTCATAGACTAGTACGTATGACTGGAATGGCGGTAGGTGGATTAGCAGTAGGATAAGTAATAGGAGTATGAGATATGGTAGCAGTATTGCTGTTAGTAGTGCTGCATGAATCAAGTAGTCTTTGTAAAAGCCATCATTATCAGATTTAGCTCTGTTTGCTTTTAAAAGAAGAATTATCAGTTTGGGCGCATGACACCATTAAAGTCATTGCGGTTAGCTTTGGTATGCCATTGGGTTTATAGAAAGAACCTGGTTCTCAGGGTTCCCAAGGGCTGAGAAATCCAAGATTTCACAGATTTTAATGGACTTTGGCAACTAAGAACCTGTGAAAGTTTTATCCTTATCTCAGATTCCTATAAAAAGTTATTCCAGTTTTTCGTGTCCCAAACTCAACTGGGATATAGTATAGCTTGTGAGCTTATTAATCTCACTTAGTTGATGTGAACATTTACCTTTTTTGAGTTTAGTCATACGTTTGAAGGCCTTATGCATTGATATTCATTGAAAAATTAATACCATATGATTCACATGTCAATTTTGTTTACTATTTAAATGAAAAGTACTAAAAGTGCATACCCTTGCCACACAAGCAATAGATTTATTTTGATGATTGATGAAAGGTGTGGCTATTAATAGACTAATTAATTGTATAGGTGTGGTTTGACTGGTTTCAAGTGCCAATATGGCTACGCATACACAGTTAGGCCTTCAAAAGCTTAAGGTTTTTTAAGTTGTAAAAGCTCTTTCGACACATTTAGTAGGCACTACTAGTTCCTTGCAGACTTCTTTCTACTCTAAGCCAGTTTCAGGATACTGGCTGCCTTTTCTACTGAGATTCAAGAGGCCGTATTTGACTTAGGACAGTTTTTACACTGTCATATTGTACCAAAGAAAGAGAAGTAAGGAAATCCCCTCATAAGCTTTGAGTGAAATGATGCTACCTTTCTTATGGTGGCACAACAAACTCTGCCACTGCTGTAACAAAAAAGTTACCCAGTTGAGTGCTCTTTACTTTGACTTTGCTAGCTTTTGCAACCTAAAAAAGTGAGTAGAAAGCTCTTAAAATGAAAAAAACAGTCTAATAAAGGCAAAAAAACTAGTCTTGAGTCTCTAGAGTTTTTATCCAGAGAGCAGGAGCCTCTTGTTCAGATTAGTTGTTTACACAAACACTGACAAATCAACTCATATACCCTTGCCCATATGCCTACACGTGGCAAGGGTAGTGAACAACTTTGAGGACATGGTGAAAACTTTCGATATACATATTAGTGTCAATACCACAACCAGCTCGATAAGCATATGCCCATTCCTCCTAATGTTCAACATATTCACTAGAAAAATTTTTGTAAAATCCTGGGTGATCTTTTGATATCATTGACATAAACTATTGAAGCAAAAATTGAATGAAGTTATGTCTCTTCTAATAGGACATAATGATGATGTTAAATTGCAATTTGCTGATTTTTATCATGTATCATTTCCTTTAACTTTCTTCTCCAAGATTCATCTATGTGCCATGTGCAGAGAGCTATTTAGGAGGATATTCACTTTCAAAAGTTTCAACCCATGTTTCTCTGCAAGATCTGACATAAACATTTTTGTGTTTAAATTACCAATGCTCATTTTCATTGCTAGTAAGAATTCCTTAAGCACCATTCAGTCTTCACAATTTGCTATATACAACATCCTACAGGTATTTCTTCATAGTATTCATCAACTACCATGATCGATGTTAACAGAAAGTTGTGCACAGTAGTTGAGTAAGTAGCATCCATACAAATTATATTATTTTGAAATATCTTTTACATGTCCTTTTAAAACTCTGACTGAATGCACAGTTGAAAATTGCTTGATTTAAGTGTAGGTATATCACCGCCAATTTCGTCTTGTGTCTTATGTAAAATAACTGGAGTATATGGTTGTGCTTTCAATTCTTCCACCCATATTCTAACACTAGTTCTATCATTAGCATGATGCTGTGTACCAGAAATGTTGTACTGAGATTGAATGTTCTGAATATCCTTTAGTGTTACAAATTGCCAGGGGCGGATTTAGGGGGGTGCTGAGGGTGCTTGAGCACCCCCATTAGTCTGAAGAATCAACATTTTTTTTTCTGCATCCATAAATTAAGGGGAAGGGCTTTAAAATTATTGTTATGATGTTATTATTAATAATTTAATCAACTGTTATTGTTAGCACGTGTATGCTTATATGGTTTCTGTTGATACCAGCTGATAAGTGGCTTCATAGCTTGTTTTTTGGTTTAAAATTGCTCAGGATGTCTTTGCTAAATTACTTTTCCAGGTTAAATGATTCAAACAGGTACTAAAATGAAATCATAACTAGAAACAATGTAGAAAATTCAAGGGCTCAGCCTCATAGATTATTAGCTGAAAAAAAGCAGAATCTCTACCTTAAGTTGCTGCTAGAAAGCTCCTGACTTGTTTTTTACTTTAAGCCTTGCTACACTGACCATAAGATATAAATAGGCTGGCCAGTTTAGTGCAGTCAGTGACAAAGGTGACATTTGTTTGATTTTCACAGTTTATCTCAACAAAAAGAAGTTTCATAGTTACTTAATTGCACCTGTAACCTTTTCAAGTAGTTGGAGAAGTCTTTGGACGGTGTTTTTGCCTTATCTTGTTGCTAGGAAGTAGGAAAATCATGACTTCTGATTCCTGTGTGATGATCGCCTCTTCTTTTCATTTGGCCACTCCCACTTTTAATGAAATATTGAAATTTAGAATTTTTTGCACTGCAAGGCATGTGCGGATATATAGAGGAGATACGGAATACATACGTGTACATACAAACAAACTCTACTCATCTTAGTGGGCTTTGCCCAATTAATTCAAATATGATCTAGCCCATGTATAATTTATATAGTAATGAAACTGAGCCTGATAATGAAACACAGCAGTCACTAAATGAGGCTAGTCACTGTCAGACTGAGACCCCGCAGGCCTTTGATGATGAACAATCTACCAGCTCACAGGATCCTCCAACTCCATTATCTGAAGGTCTTCCACCTGTTAAGCAACCAAGGGTTTGTCACACTGATCTTGGAACATTTCTACCAACTGTATCAGCTGGTCGTACTGCTGTGACGGATCATGATAAGTTTTGTCTAATTGAGGAACATTTTGTACCTGAGCCATCATGCAAGTTTCCACCAGGTTCCAATTGGCGTGCTTTTCAATACCGTTGGCTCACCAGATATCAATTGTTACGATACAGTGAGCATGATAATGGGGGTTATTGTTTACCATGTGTCTTGTTCTATGTACCAAGAAATAACCTCCATTCTGATCCTGGAGTGATGAAGCCCCTCAAAATTTTCAGAAAGCCCTGGAAATTTTCAGTAAACAAAGAAATTCCATAGGTTTTCTGTAATAAAAATGAGTGAGTTCGTGATGACCAATCAGCAGCCTAGTATACAATGTCAACTTAGCCAGGCCAAAGCAGATATGATAGCTTCTAATCGTCAGAAACTTGCATCCATTGTTGAAACTATTCTTTTATGTGGATGACAGAACATCTCACTTTGTGGGCATTGTGATAGTCTCCACAATTTTGAGCACAATCCATCTGCACAACACGGCAACTTCTTGGCACTTTTACAATTTAGAATAGCAGCAGGGGATACAGTCCTGAAAGAACACCTGCTGAGTGGCTCTGTAGTTAAGAGGAATGCGACATACACATCTTATCGTATTCAGAATGAAATTCTTGATATCCTAGGCAATATAATTACACAAAAGATTGTCACCAAAATTGAAATGGCTTCCTATTATAGTATTATCATTGCAGACAAAGTTACTGACTGCTCAAACAAAGAACAACTTGCTATTGTTTTGAGATGCGTGAATGCTGACGACAATGTCATACATGAGGACTTACTGGCTTTTTTAGAATGTGACAGTGGAATCACTGGAAGTGCTCTGTCTCAAAAAATCATTTCATTTTTGGTTTCTTTGGGATTAGATCTTTCCAAGCTACGTGACCAAGCTTATGATGGTGCTGGCAATATGTCGGGTAGCCTTAAGGGTACAGCAGCTTTAATATTCAAGGACCATCCTTTAGCTCTCTACCTTCATTGTGCTTCTCACAACCTAAACTTGGCTGTTGTTAAGTGCCTGGATGAGAGAAGTATTAGCAATATGATCGGGACTGTTGAAAAAGTTTCGATTTTTTTCTCTGCACATCCAAAAAGGCAAAGAAAACTTGAGGATAGCATAGACAACACGTTGCCTGCTGGCACACTTCCATCAAGAGTCAAGAAGCTTAAAGACTTGTGTCGTACTCGGTGGGTGGAAAGGATAGATGCCTTAGATTGGTTTTGGAAGCTACTTCCATGTTTGGTTTCATGTTTTGAAGCAATTTCCAATGAAGGTTCCAGTAAATGGAGTAGACTCCTTGACAGATGCCAACACCCTTTCTCTGGCCATCACAACAACTGAATTTCTGAGTGCTTTGGTTATTACAAGTGCTTGCTTAAGCTATCTCATGCCCCTCACTAAAAGCCTTCAGTCTGAAGCCCATGAATTAGATCAAGCAGTTTCAGAGGTAAATAGCTGTGTATCAGTCTTTCAAAATCTATGAAAAGATGTTGATAAAAAATCATGATAGGTGGTTTTCAGGGATACAGCAACTAGCTACCTCTACTGGCATAGAACTATCACTTCCTAGATTGTCGATGTCAGACACAACGTAGTAATATCCCATCGCAAACACCAAAAGAGTACTATCGGCAAACTTTCATGATACCTTTGTTAGACTACATCATATCAGAAATGACAAGTCGTTTTGACAAGCATCAACAGCTTGCTTTATCTGGACTAGTCTTAATTCCATCAGTTTTAGTGAAAAGGTCATTGGATGAGGCTACAACTCAAATAGTGGATGTTGGTAAAATGTACACTGATGATCTTCCTTTTCCTTCTTGTCTGCATGGTGAAGCACACACATGGCACCTTAAATGGACTGAAGAAAACAGCCGTGGCAGTGCCTTTCTCCCAACCACACTGGAAACAACTTTGCCACATGCCACTTCAATGTTTCCAAACATTACAGAACTACTACGTATCCTCTGCACTTTACCAGTCACCTCCTGTAGTGCTGAACAATCGTTTAGCGGGCTCAAAAGAATCAAGACCGCTATGAGATCCAAAATGGGGAATGATCGTCTCACGTCTAATGCTCTTCTTCACTTGCACAGGGATGTTTCAGTTGAGGTACCTACAGTCATAAATGAATTCGCTAAGCTACATCCGACAAGATTGGAAGTTGGAAATATCCTGTCTGATAACTGAAACATTGTTTAGAACTGTTTAATCAATTTGATCAATAAACAATAATTATAATGATTATTGTAAGTTATGCCTACTGCGTTATAATACTGTTACATAGTGCATTTTGATGGTGCTAGCACCGCCAAAATGGGCGAGGTCTAAAATTTCACGGCGCGCTTTGCGTGCCACTTGCACAGAGCACCCCATCTTCTGAATCCTGCAACCGCCCCTGAATTGCTGATGCTTGATTTCATGAACATTGCCAGCACTATATCTGATGTCATCAAGTACCTTATTTCCTTGATATCTTTTTGCCCTTGAATTCTATTTGCCCTTAAATTACCTTAAAGCCACTTATTATTTAAGTAGACAATTATTTAAGTAGACAAATATTTGCGATCAATTTTGATAATGGTATTGACTTAAAGTGTACTAATTTTTGTGATTTAGCTCATTTTAAAAATTAGCATAACTATTAATAAACATCAATTATTAATAATTGTAAGTACTAATTTTTACTATTTCAAAGCCACTAGCAAAAAACACAAAAATCAGTACTCGCAAATAATAGTTGTCTTAAGGTATATCCGCACCATTAAGAAGGCTGAATGAAATAATATTTACCCTTGAATTATTACCGCATCTTGCGCTTGCATAATTGCACACGTAGCTGTAGAGGAATCCCAAAAAGTTCAGATAGCTTCTGATAAAATGGAGCTGAAGGTATTAGTCTTCACCCTTGAGTACTATTTGCCCCTGTATTGCACCCGCAGTGCTCTTAATGCTGAAATTAATAGTCCCCACAGATAGAATTTTAGGAATTATGGTATTTTCTTCAGATCAAACCCTCGTGCAACTTAGCAGCAATATTTCTCTTAAGATTCTGATATTCTTCAAGTGTACCAATTACTCTATGACTGCAATGTACTCTACATGCACCATTTTAGCTTAGTTTTTAGTAGCTTTTATGTGCGGTACACTCTGTGTCAACCTTGCGTGAGCCTTGAATCTTCAGTCAACCTGCATGAGCTCTAAATCTTCAGTTGTCAAATATGGGAGGCTTTTTCTTTGTAACAACCAGACCTATGATAATGATAGTTATGCTTCTTTTTATTTTTTGATGTAGATGGCTGAGGTGCAGGTTGTAGAACAAAAAAGAATTATTTTACTTCTTCATTGGGTGTTCATTTCAAGAAATCAAATAATCCTGTAAAATCTTGCTCCGAAACTTTAATATTCTGATTATGAGTAACATTCAAATGGCCAATGAATCCATTTAAGTTGACAAGCCTATCATTATAGTCACCGTAATGAAGCTTATATAAACCATCACAAAATAGAATCACCTACAATCACACAGTACATTTAATAGAACCATTTTCTTGTTTGGAATGCTTTTACTCTACATGATGAGAGAGGCTGGAACTGACAGAAGACTACTCCACATACCTCCCAAGGCTTGCACTTAGAAGGAGATGCCATTTTATTAAAAGTCTCAACCAGAGCCACACCTATTTTTTCTATCCAAGAATAAACAAGAATTTAAAAATGTTAATATTCTGTCATAAGTTGCATGTAAGCATATTGAGTAGTTGAGATGAAATTAATTAAAAAATTATGAGTGTTCTTAGTACAAGTAGGACTAGCATATATTGTAATCATGTATTGCTTGAGTCAAATGATATAATTAAATTCATAGGTCGAGGAAGGAATGAGATAAATCTTGACCAGGGAGACATACCATAAAATAATTCTGCAGCAGTGCAGTGAAGATGAACACATATGCTAAGTAATACCAGTGGAAGAGAGTTAGCCATGAAGAGTCAGTGTGAGCTGAGCTCCTTTCAGTTGCCACGGAAACGTTTCACAAGACCATTCGGTTTGTGGCAGTATGCGATAATTTAAATACATGTAGTACCTATAAGTGTCATGCAAGATCACATTCAAATTGACCTCCGCATTTGGTAGTGATAAAGGATGGGACTCCAAACTTTGAAATCCATTCAGATTTGAGAGAACAAGCTACCAAAAGAGCAGTGAGAGTAAATGCATCTGGCTATCAAGTAAATCAATCATTGCAAGTGAGTAGATATGTTTTGACCATTGGAAAGAGTAATGGGGCCGACAATAATGCAATCAAATCATAAATGAGGTATGCAAAAAGGGAAAAAAAGCACCAAATTACTTTAGACCATTGACAAGGGAGACATTAATGAGTCAATTTTTTGATAATAGAGTTAGTTTTGAGTTACACAACTTGGATTGAATTAGTTTCTGAGTGGCTTTTTAATGCCTAGATGATAAAGTCAGCGAAGCATCAAAAACTAATTGTCTGAATAAGGGTGTGGTGCTTTATGAGCAATGTCATTGACAACAGACTGTGTAGAATGAGGATGAGGGAAAGGTTGTACATTGAGAGTGATTTGGAGACACAGTAAAGAGAAACACACCATTATGAGCAGCAGCCATGTCTTCTAAATTAACAATAGGAGGAAGTGAACTGGCATTGAGTTGTACTTTGGGCAGTGCATTAGCAACTTGTCCTGTATGTGATGATTCATGAAAGATTGAAAGCGATGAGAGAAATGATGTGCTACTATTACTGGGTAGCTATAGTAACCTTCTACTCTCTTAGGTAAACAGCTTTTTTACTTCATCATCTTAGTAAGGTTTTTTCGGTCACATTTAGCAAGTACACACATTAAATAAAATCAATTCCTATCATCTGCACTTCATGTGATAAAGAAACCTAGCATTCTAAATATGGCAAACAAGTCAAGCTTTGCTTTATTCCAGTATGCTGGGAAACCATGTATATTAAGCATAAATGCATATCAATTTTTCTGAAAGCTCCGGGTTTTCACTTAAATCTCCATTTAATAATTCACCGGCAGTGATACGCTTTGTGCTCTCCAATGATAATGATCTTATTCGCATTGCAATTGATACATAATTACGTTATCTCATCTTTTCAAGTAAATTTGCCTACCATAGTACATATGAAATATTACTAGAATAACGATTATCAGCATTAAGTAAACGAGATTGAATATAATCAGTAAATGTTAATGGTGGGTCTCTTGCTGTATAATGTCCATTGATTCCATTTGGAAATAGACATGGAAATGCTATTTTTATGATACATTTCTAATGAAGTCAATGGCTTCTAAATTTGGTAGCGTATGATTTGTTCTGCATGATGCTCAATGCTAGTACCTTGCTGATTCTCATTATTATTGTCAGAAGTCATTGCTATCTATAGCCAAGGGCTTCCTCACTGCAAATAGGGTTCTAGTACTAGTAGATGTGCTTGATTGTGTGGTGTTAGCACAAGCAATGTTTGTACTAGTACTACCTCTAGCACTCTCAGGCCCACTACTGGTACTTGCTGTTTGATCACTAGTTGGAACAGAGACTGTAGCACTTGTGCTTTCCGGTGGCTTAACTAACATAACTCCATCACTATTTAGTGGCCTAGGCAAGGAATTAAATACTTCAGACACATTTGCAGGAAAGTAATGGTATGGCTAGCCAGGGCTCATTGATCCAATAAAAACACTATTAGCTTCATAAAAGCTTGCACTCTTGTAATTAGTCTCTGTTCCATAGAGTTCAAATTGGATAGTTCTTGTGAGATTTCATCAACATGCAAATTATTTGTTGTAGCAAATGGAGGGATTTTCCTTTCTTTATATGACATACATTTACTGTAAACATCAACACTAGATTCTACATCTTCAATAGCCAATAAAGCTTATAACTGTGTATCATTAATATACGCATGATAATGTTGTTGTAATACATTATGTATTTTACTCAAATCAACCAATGATACACCTTTTGGGTAGCACAGATGCTCACATGTACAGCATATGCTGGTTGGAATTAAGAACTTTTCTTCTGAAATTTTTAAGGTCCTTTGGTGGCAACTCTTGCTGACTTACACTTTCTGGTGAGGGAGCCGGAGGTGGTTGATTAGCCAACAATTCTCCATGATACTCACTCTTTGATTTGTTAAGCTCTCTGTTTTTGGAAAAAAGAAACAAATCATGAGAAATCAGTAGAACATAAAACATTTTAAAGAGAACTTAAAGGATAAAACTATGTCTGATACATCACTATTAATATGAACCATACCATGAAACTGAGAAAAAAAACAAATAGTGAGAAGTCAGTAAAACATTAAATATCATTTGAAAAAAGTTTGAACCATTATAGCAGAAAAACAAATAGTGAGAAGCAAGTAGTACATAAAACATTTTAAAACAAAACTTAAGTGATAGAACAAAGTCTGATGAGATACTACTGGTATAAGCCATGTTATGAAACTGAGAAAAGAAGAAACAAATAGTGATAAGTCAGCAGAACATGAAACAATTTAAAAATAACCTCAAAAATAAGAATTCAGTCCAATCATTTACTTGCAGTATTTTTATGCTATTCTATGAATCTGAGAAAAGAACACTGAGAAAAAGTAGCACATAAAACATCATTTTAAAACCAAATTTAAGTGATAGAACTAAGTTTTATCATTCACTCCTGGTAAAAAATATAATCATGAAATTAAGAATAGAAGAAACAAATAGGAGTATATAGAACATTAAATTTTAAATCAACTTTAAATGACGAAAACTTCATCTGATCAGTCACTCCTAGTATATATCATGCTATAAAACTTAGTAAAGAAACAAATAGTAATAAGTACAACATGACACATTTAAAAACTAAACTAATATGAGAAGAACTCAGACTGATCAGTCACTCTTGGAGAATACCATTATATGAAAATGAATAAGAACTAAAGTTTGATCAGTCACACTTTGTACATACCATTCTATGAAACTGAGCAAAAAATAGAGAGAAGCCTGTAGTACATAAAACGACATTTTAAAACCTAACGTAAATGATAAAATTAAGTTTGATCAGTCACCCTTGGTTTTAAAATTGACAGAAGAAACAAGCATTTTAAATCTGAGTTTAAATGATAGAACTAAGTTTGATCAGTCACTTTTGGTTTGAAC